AGGCGGAGCAGTCAATAAGTTGGTCGTCTAAAAGAGAAGACGGTAGGATGAAAGACGCATCAAGCCAGCACGCAAATCTCATTTTTGGGAAGATAATTTATGCTTTGGCAAAAGTTATTCGAAGCGCGGCTTATCTTTACAATCATTGATGGTGGGTGGGTGAATGGGGGGGAGGGGGGGCAGCGCCTCTCATTGCCAACGCCTGCCTCACCAACTTGCTACTTCCCCTTCCCTTTCTCCTCTCTTTTCTTGCCCCACACAAATGGCTGAAGGATTTGTGGATTGATGAAAGGGAAGTCCAACTGTCAAGCCAGTTTATCCTTCCATTTGGATGACCAAAAGTAGCGCCAATTGAAACAACGCAAGGGAAGTGAGTTAGATAATTAATTACGTGATTACAGCGTCCCCTCTCTACATTTTTCAAATGACAGTACAACTTGGCATTGATTGAGGTGGATTAGAGACAGAGGGGAGGAAAAAAGCTGGGAGGATTCTCAAACCCCATTTGTGGCCTCTAAAGTTTCGCAGTGGCGCGGAGTGGACTAAGCGGCGCAAGGCTTGGGCGTTGTGGAGAACGAAACGACCACTGATAAAATCTGCACGTTTTGTTCACTGGAAGACCTTTAAGTCCCACGCCTGGAAGGATGGGAAAAATGCTGACAGAGGCACCGCTTCTGCTAAGAGGTGTACGCACATACTTATACCTTTGGACTAAAAGTTATGAGATGGGGTAAAGTAGCGCCAGTTTGCGTTGTTGTGGTGATACATCACAAGTGGGTTGGCAAACGCCGTCTACTGGTAGGATTTTGATGAAGATGCCTTATGCTTTTTTTGGGCAGCAAAGAACAGGATCGCCACTTCGTATAGGCCTCTCTCTATTGCGGTAAAGCGCAATTATGAAGGAGCTGACTTTGTAGGGTGGATCTATTTGGTTGGACCTTGAAGGAGCCGGAGAGGGTGTGTGTGATCGGATTAGGCGGTAAAGTTGGGTTGGAATGGCCACTATGCGGCATCGTCGGTGGGTCGGTGGGTCGGTCGGTCACGAAAATCACACAAAACTCAGACCCTGGGGATTGCGTGCAACATAGAGGAGTTTTAAGCCTCCAAATTCCCCATTTTTCTACCACTGCAACGCCAATTTATGCGTGTAAGGCATTTTCTCTTTTGTTTTACACCCAACTTTGAGCGAGTTGAGAGCATTTTGGCATTTTAATTTGGTCCAGTTTCAAGGGCCAGCATTTTCCCCTTTTTTAAATACTACTTATGTTATTAGTACTATGCAATCGGTCACAAAGGGATGTTTAAAAAAGGCTAAAATTAAAATTACCAATTCCTTCATGAAGTGAGAGGTCACTGATGACCTTGTGGATGGCGTCCAATTGCATGAGAGAAACGAAACTGGAATGTGCTAAGGGGGCCGATCTGCCCTTGACCCAGTGGGCCGGGGTGGAGGGATGCGATTGGCCGGAAGCAGTTGTCGGTTGTGTGCGTGGACAGAACTGAACCACGGCTGGAGGTGTCTCAATTGCGTGCAGGAAGGACTGCTCTGTGTGCAACGCTCGATTTATAAGGGATTGAGACACCTGGGGGAGAAAATTGGCGGAACAGATGACTAATTGGTGTAGTTTAGACCTGAGGGTTGGAGCGCTTAAAAATATGACTTTGGCTACCACACAACTGTCGTTTGGCAAGCATTAGAATTGCTTATCTAATTGCCCTTCACCGATCAACAGGCAAGGTGTGAACTCACAAGAAGGAAGGAGAAGGCATCATTCTCCTTCAGCATTTCTATACAAAATTGAATGAGACCGGTGGAACGAGTGAGTTTGGAGGTGCATTGGTGTATTTGCTCCTTTAAGGCGCCCAATTTTCGGTCCCTCTCCTCCTTAATGGCCGAAATCAACTCTGCTTTCTTCGCCTCGATGGTTTGGATGAGACAGTCGAATTTCACTGTTGCGTCCTCTTCAGCGCGTTTTGCAGACTTCTGTTAAGGAAGCAAACATTCTCATCACCGCAATTAGCGCTCAGCTAGCATAATCGCACCTGAGGTAGGCTTCGTTGGGAACGAATCCATAAATTAGGAAAACAACTGGCACACAGAAGGCTTTGAAGTTGGTAAGCGATTTAACTATCCCACATTGTATGGATAGTCAGCAAAGGAACACATCCACAGCTAAAAAAGGTTACATGGGTAAACTTTGTTACATCGAGGCGCTTAGGCGACTTCACTTTTTGCCTCGATGTTTACCCTTCCACTCAGCCGAAACAGAAGCGTTTCGGTCGAAGTGGAGACACCGTTAAATTGCGATCTTGGCCGAAAAAACTTTATCAACGGAATGTAAACTCACTGTGGCACACATGTTGCTCCAGTGCCACTGTTTTGATTGTTGCCTACAACCACTTTTTGTTGCGCATTTTTAAAGAAGCCAACTGGAAGAGAGGCTTTTTTTGCCACCTTTAATGAATACATCAAAGCCTCTTTGGGTGGAAGTGCATGAAATCGGCATCAAACGAAGTTCATTCATGCCCTTACGAAAGTTTTTAGCGTCTTGTCACTGCCAACATTGTGTTTCCTTCAAATGTGTGTTTCAGAATTTCCTTTCAATTCGAAGCCTGAATAAAGCATGGACTGAGTGCTCACCCCTCCACTCGGCGAGTCATTCGGCAAATTGCTCCAAAAAGGCGGACTAGGCGG